GTTCTGTGTATTAAAAGAGAAAGAGGGAAAAGAAACCATTTTTTTAATGCAGATAGAACAGAAGTTTGTTATGGTGCAAAAGGGGACATTGTACTACCTCTTGTCTCTTCCTCCATCTGAGATTCCCCAGATTCTTACCCCTAGTCATCCAGAGCAGGGGTTGGCAAACTTTTGAGACAGAAGAGCCATCAGTGGTCAGCAAACTATAGCTCGCGAGCCACTTGTGGCTCTTTGGGTACGTACATGTGGCTCTGAAGTAAAATTGAAAATGAAAATAAACCTATCATAGTTTCATTTGTAAAATTTTTAAATGATATTCACATAGTGGTGATTATGTAAAAATATATCTTGAATAATTTTTAAATTATTGTGAGGGACAGGATTGGCTCTTCCAGGGGTCAGCAAACTTTTGAGATGGAATGTACCCAAAGAGCCATATGTGGCTCGTGAGCCGCAGTTTGCCGACCACTGATCCAGAGCAATCTGAGGTCCATCGTATTTGCGAGACGTAGTTTTAGTGGTTGTGGACAGAGATTAGTGAGGTGTGAACAGAAATGTCTGGACACACAGACCTGGAGAATGTATATATAAAGATGAACTGCTACCCGTACAAGCTCCAATTTTCTGACTATATTTATCATTCCATTTTAATGGCAATCCTTCCAAATATCCCTCCCTACTCCAAACACACCACAGAAAGTCACCATTATCATCATCATCATCGTCATCATCGTCATCCTTATCCTTGTCATCATTGCTATCATCATCATCATCATCTGTCACATCTGCCATGTGCTGGGCAATGTTCCGAAAGCATCTGGGTATTTACTCATTAATTTTCACAATCTCCACATGAGTCGGTATATGGAGATTATCCTGTTTACGTAGATGAAGATACTGACGTACAGAGGTTGTGTACCATGCCCAAGGTTACACGGTTCATGACAGCTGTGGATGTGCGTGTGATGGGTGCACACACACACATTTTCATGCTGTACATCTAAGGAAATAGGAATTTTAAAACTTACAAGGTTTGGAAAAATCTTTAGTAAATTTCACGAGATCTCGTTCCTGGAGAATCCTTCTCTCTGCAGCTCATGATGCTGATGTCCTTGGGCATGAGCTCGGAAGGATAGCATGTGTTCCATGAGGATCCAGAATTCTTTTTCCTCACTCCTGATAGTTTCCCTTCTTTATGGCTTTTTTAAAAATTTTAAACAAAAAACTTAAATACTTTATTCTTGGAAAAAACTATAATACTTTGGAAGTAGGTAAACTCCACAGAATGTAAACTTTTGTCTTATTTATACAATAGCAGCACTTAATAAACATATGTCAAATATATACTACCACAAAAGTTTTGCACCCAACACCATTCCACTTCTTTAATTTGTTAATTTTGAGGAACACATTAATAGATGTTCTTATGTTGCACTTTTTTTTTTCATTTTTAGGTTTCACTCTGTTTGGTGTTGATGCATTAGTTACATGTTATTGTATATAATTAAAATGTATACATCTGTGATTATAAAGAGGTTGGTTTAGTTCTCTTTACCTCTCCCTTGTTTTTGCGTGCTTTGACATTGTAACCTTAAATGAGGAATGGGAAGCATTTTTGTCTTTTTCATTTTTCTAGAATAATTTATATCTGTTACTTGAAGCTTTGGAAGGTTTTTCATGAAAACCCTCTGAACTTAGTACCTTTTTTAGGTATAGCTCTTCAATTCCTGTCTCTTATAGAATCAAATTTAATGATTTATGTTTTCCTGTTTTGTTTTATTTTAAGATTTTATTGGGTAATTGGGGCAGGGGAACAGCGTTGGGGAATCAGGGAAGGGGAACAGACAAGTTGCTGTTTTTTGTTCTTCAGTCTAGTTGTGGAGGACGTTGCTTCACTGGCCCATGTTGGTATTATCATTGCGCTCTTCCCGGGTGAGGTAGTCGCCTGCCAGCCATTGGACGGCCACTCACTCCGGCTCACAAAAGCTCACGCCAGCTGCCGTCCAGCTCCACGATAGCCCAGCTCCAGGTCGAGCTGTTGTTCACCATCTTAGCTGTAAAGGGTGCAGCATCACTGGTCCATGTGGGATTCGAACCGGGGCCCTGCTGCTCAGAGCTTGCACTCCCAAGTCAACTCTTTACCAATGAGCCACTCGTCTGGCCCTACTTTATGCTTATTGAAAGAGCCCTGTAGGTTTTAATTCTAGTATTTACAATAAAAATCTTACCTGAAATTTTTACTAAATGATTTCCAGATAACAATTACATCTTTTCATCTTTCTTCCTCAAATGGTCCTTAAGTTGTTTGTTGGTGACTCATATTATCAGAGTAATAATTCTGCAATTAGATTAAAAAAAAAAGTTTGCTCAAACACAGGCAATGACATCTGTATTCCAGCTAATCCCTGGATACTAGCAAATTAATGCTATTATTACAATATCAAGATAAAAATTGTATATCGTAGAGTTGATGAAATAGAGTATACTGATACCTTGATGTTAATTTTATTTACTGGTGGGGAGAAGATGTACTATGACTTCTGCTTTCTGATAACTTTTGAGACTTTCTCTCTGTCTAATATATTGTCAATTTTTATGAGTAGGCCATTTGTGTTTAAAAAGCATTGTGTAGCATGAGATTATTTGTTGGACACAAAAGTAAACATGTAACCTAATTGTGTTATTCATAACCTTTATAGCCTTCCTTTATTTTTATTTTGCCAATTTCATTTGTTGATTTTAGAAAGAAGCTAAGCCCTTCAATATTTTGTGAATTTTCAATTTCTTCTTATATTTTTATTAATTTTTGCTTATATTGATATTCCATGCTGTTAGGTGAATTAATATTTAATACATTTTCCTTGAATTCTATTATGTCTAATATTTATGTTGATATTCTGATTCAATTTTTATCGATATTTACCAATGTCACTAACATAAAATATAAATAATATAAATATATAATAAAAAATATGTTCTTTATTTTATATTTTATGTTGTTTATGATTACTACTTTGTATCTTGGCAACAGTGTAAATTTGATTTTCTTTGTTTTGTAAACTGAATTTTTACCTTTTTAATACAAATTTTAGCATACCATGGATATATTATAATTGATGATTCAGTGTACTTTCTATGTACCGTTTTACTTGTGTGTGAAGCAATGAACAAATTAGATACAGTTCTTTTTCTTATGGGTCTTACTGTGTATGGGCAGTATCTTAAATAATACCTTATTTTTGTATATCATGTTATAGGTTAAAAAATTACTTTCTTCAAAAATTTTCTGTTTGCCCTATTTGAAAGGATAGAGAAATTAATAGTATTGCTTTACAAAGTAGCAGTTTGAGGTACAGAATTCATTCCTCAGTTTGTTAAATGCATGATATAAAACTTTCATATAGTCACCTAGAAAAATTTTGTGGAACCCATTGTAATTATATTTTAACGGCATTTTTAATGAGCTATACTACATGCAAGACTATTTCCACCTGTATTTACTCTGGTCTTTGTGTCTGACATTTTCCCTTGACCAGAGATCAATAACTTCCAAACCAAACACAGTTTCTGTCCTTGTGGAGTTTGACCGATTTGGAAGTTATTAAACACCTTGAGTGTGGTCCAAAAAAAGGCAATATTGTCTAGGACATATCGGAGGGCATTTCTTCTGACCCCTTTTTACCCTTTTACCTTCGATGGCCAACTTCTTTGATTCTCTACTCATGTCTCACTTAAAGGTAGCTTCTTCTAGAGGCCTTTCTGAAATCTTCAGACCACAATATGTTCTCCCTGCTATGCCCTCAAACATTACTCAGTACTGTTGTAAAGTAATACACAGCACACTGTGCTATAAATCCTAGCGTGTCTGGTTTTTCCCATGTACAACTGTTTCATTGAAGTCTATGTCTTTAGGGACTAGTGTAGTGCCTGGAACTAATAAGGGTTCAAGACATGCATGGTGATTAATGAATGAATGCTAAATTGTGCTCTGTATCCTCATGAATTACCACCTGGCATGAAGTAAAAATCTCAGTAAAGGAATCTGAACTGTTGTCACCATGGCTACAGCAAGGTTCTTGAATGTGTCATAAAACTCATAATTCCTCAATAATTGATTCCTGACAGCGGGACATGAATACTTATGTTCAGTGACTTTTACAGAATAATTAAATGTTTCAGTGTTATAAATCTTACAGTATGTTCCAAGAGACAAAAAAAATTAGAGTAGCAACTTTACATGCTTTTTTTCAAAATTCTACATAGTTTATAATATAAACAGAAAAAAACAATTAAGAGGAAACTACATAATTGTGGGCAAATAGAGCTTGGAATATTTAAAAGAATAATGTCTAGTGATACTCCTTTTTTGTTATATCCAGATGTGTTTTTGTCTTAATTTATAATTTTGAAAGTATTTCTATTAATTTATAAAATATATTTTGTCAAATATATTCAGGAGTTCTGTAAACCTGAAAATTATTTTTTAATGAATACAGCTAAGAGAAATTTAAATAAATCCAATGATTAATTTTACGATAATGATCTATTGGTAGTATTTTCATCTCATACAAAATAATCCTAACCTGCATTTGTACTTGAAAAACACAAGATAATTGAAATTGTAATTGGATTGGTTAATTGTGTTAGTTTTGTGTTTTTAGTTAAAGTATATATTTTTAGTTAAGAATTTTTTTTTTTTTAATTAAAAGAGATATATGTTTAACGAGGAGGAAATTAAGCACTTAACAAATTATGGACATGAACTCCTTCTAATACACAGATATGTTTAATATAAAACAGAGCCTAGAGCTAAAGATAATGATTCAATTGTGGTTAAAAAATGGGGGTTGGAGGATCGTGCAACTGCATAAACACAATATCCACCCACTTGTCTTATGTTTGCTTTGTTCAGAATGTATTGGTAACTTTGAAGTAGAAAAATATTGATTCATCATGTGATAGCTAGAAGGATTTAATATATTTTCCCTTTTTTCTTCTAGCACACTGATTTATGTCAGTACATGGACAAGCACCCTGGGGGACTACATCCAGATAATGTGAAGGTAGGAAAAGATCTTATTAAGCCAAGGGTTAGCGTTCTTCGTGTGCAATTTTTGAGCCAAAGTCTAATCTCTACTATAACTTTTTCATTTTTAAATTTTTTGTATAAAGAGAAATAATTTGAGCTGAGCTGTAGCCATTGTTTCATTTAGTGGTTGCAAACCATGCTTTAACATTAAATATTTTCACTGGAGTATTATTGTTTAGATCTTATCCTGTTTTTTCTTCATGGAAAAACATTTGCCAGTGTTGAGTGAGATCCATTAGAATGCTGTTGTAGCACTATTTTCAGTAGAGGGGCATCTCAGGTAGCGTAGCGGTGCCTTAGAAACCCATACTGAAGTACTCTTTGGTTTCATTACAAAGTCTTATTATGATCCAAAATAGTCTTGTGGTGAATTCACAGTGCTTACTTTTCATTTGTATGTACAAACAGGTAAAAATGGTTCTATTATTCTCTACTGCTCTCTTTCATTTCTTTCACTATAAATTGGATTACTGTATATCAAAAGAAGTAAGTTTTTATAAGATCTAAATTAACAACTATCTTGGGAAATTATCCCCAAATTTCAGGCTTAAAAGAGGAATATCTTTTTTGGTATATGTTAGGAAATTAGAAGTTCCAAAGTTATATCTGAACATTTAATGATGTGCCTACATTTTATAATTCAAATGACTACATTTCATGATCCTGAGAATCAGTTGAGTACTATAGATGTATCTGCAGTGAAATTATTTGTCTCAATTTCTTCCCATTCATTACCTACACCACTGTTTGCAACATGGCATTTTTTTTCTTTTTTACTTTTTCCTTTGTTTATAGAGGTATATATGCTGATATGGAGTTTTGTTATATTTTTGCTCTATAAAAATAAGTTATGTTATTTTGAACTTAAAATATTCATGCATTTCTTTTAAAACCAATACATAACTGTATAGTTCAATCTTTCTAATAGCTGCCTATTAGTACATAGTATGAATAATTTTCAACTGTGTCTTATTCATAGATCTTTGGATTTCCAGAATGTTAGTGTTATGAGATTTTAGGGTAAATATTAGTATTAAAACCTTCAAAGTCTTATTTCTTTTGCTTGTCTAGTTAATGAGTTTTCTTTATTAAACAAGAGACATGATATCAGTGTTAATGAATGTGGAATATTTCCTCGCAAGATTGTAAATTACAGAACCATTTTTCTCTACTCTCACTAATATTGACTGTAACCAATCATTTTAATTTTTGCCACTGTGATGAGTAAAAGTGGAATGTCTTTTATGTTGGTGTTTTCTTAACTGCTAGTGACATTGAGCATCTTTTCATAAGTTTCTTGATCACTTATAATTCTACTCTTATACGTTGCCTGTTCTTATGTATTGTTCATTTTTCTATTGTTTTTTTATTTTTTAATAAGTTGCAGGTGCTTATTAATATGTGTGGCATTAATGAGGGTTTTTGTGGTCAGTTATGAGGTACATTTTTTTTTAAGAATAACAAAAAAATATTTTACTAAAACAAGATTTACAGAAGTTTCCAGACAAGCCATGCAAAATGGTCACAAGCTTTTTCTTGAAGAGAGAATTCTACACTTGATAGCAAAGTCACAATGTTATCAGTGAGGGCTGTGATGTTTGTTTAATGTTCCCATTTTGGTTCAGACAATCAAGCTTGTCCATCTACAGCATCTAAATAAAATTAGACTTGGCTAGAGAGCATAGTCTAAAGAACTGGTTAGCTGCTTTTAACCAATGCAATTAGATCAGCATAAAAGGTGGGGAAGGAACCCAGGAAGTTAAAATAAAACTACCTACCCCCTCAAAAAACAAAACAAAAACAAAGAAAAACACCCACACCCCTGCCGCTAACCCTGACAACCACCTTCATTCACAGTGCTTTATACTTAAACCAAGATGAGGGAAATGAATAAAAGCGGGCGGGGGCACTGCTTTTAAACGTTTTTCAACAATCCAGATGCTACTCTAGCCTCTGTTCATGCTTTACAATAGTGAATCAGGACAAGATATAGATTTGCTAATGTGCATTTAATCACCAAAGGACTGAAGATGTCTGGGCTTTTATTCTGTAATGTTTCTAAGACTGTGTCCATTAAATGCTAACAAAAAAAGGAAGAAGTCTTGGCAGAACAGGAGAAATGATGCACACTGATATCAGCTCGATTTAAGTATTATTCATGGCATATGGCCTAGTCCATGCTCTAGCAGTTTCTGTGGCTGGCGCTTCGTCGGTCTTCCACTGCTCCGCTACGTCATTTGCTAATGGGTCGTCTGGGATGGGAGCCCTTAACAAAGCCTGGATCTATAGCAGGACTATGCGGATCTGCAGTGCTGGGGTCCACTTATCTTTCAAAATATCTAAACATATTCTCCCAGCTTGTCTACATTAGGTTGATAAATTTTGGTCATGAAGCGTATGTGAGGGGCTGCCATTGGGTATTCTTCTGGAAGGAATAGTTCGAGTTTGAAAGTTTCCCCCTCAAAGGGGGATTCCTGGGGGCCAGCAATGACCATATGAAAGTAACGGGCGTTGCTCGCATCTGATTGTGCTTTGATGCCGGGAACTGGCTCTGGCAGCAAACGCTGAGTTTCCCTGACAATCCTGCGGGGCAGCCCGGCCATCTATCTTGGCAGGTCCCAAGTTCCGCCTCTGGTCTCTTCTCCGGCTCCGCTCGCCTCACGCACGAGTCACGAGGTACATTTTTAAAACACGGGAACTTGTATCTACTTTGAAAAATCTTGTTTTTAAAATAAATAATAGAATTGACATGGTACTTGCCATCTTTGTTGATTTTTTTATATATCTCCTTTTTTGTTTTTGTTTGTTTTATTGATAGATTTCTTTTAAATTTTTTGACTATTCATTTTTCTTCAAAATCTGTCTTCATTGACATAGTTTTTTAGTAGTTAGATTGGGGAAGAAATTTTAACAGATAAAGAAACTTGTTTTATTGATCTTGCCCATGTTTAAGTCCAACTCTAAACATTGATATAATATGAAGGTAATTTTTTTTACATTAAAACATCATGAATTGTCTCATTTATATATTAATTGTTCTCTTTTTAGGATTGATTGGATTCTAAATCAACACTACAGTACATCCTTATTCTTCTTTCTCAGTTTGACCCTGGGCATCTGTAGCAAGTACAGATAGAGACGTTTTGCTCTGGGGAGCCCAGGGCACTCACAGCCTCAGTGGAATCAACAAGCACTCTCAACTAACTTTGACTTTCTGACTTTCAAATTCAGTGACAGCATTGAGATTAAAGAGCTGAATGAACCTTTTCAAAAAACCATGGCATCAGTGGCTTTTTATTCTTGCTTGGTTTTCTCACTAACCTGTGTGTCATTAGTTATTGGCTAGTATTGGTTGAACGTTTTGTTGGTGAAAAAAAGAGAGAGAGCTCATTTCACAAAGCATCTGTATGTTTACCGTCCTCAGGTCAGTGTCACTGGTGGTTTTTGTAGTATTTGTAGGTTCTCTTTCTTCCATTTCTTTTTATTTTTCCTTCGTCTCCTGATGGTCATGGGGAGATTGATCTCTGGGTGGCTGATTTTTCAGGAACTATGTTGCACTTCTTGATATTGTATTTCAGTAGCTCTTATTCAGGTTTCGTATGTTTTTCTTTCACCCTTTGGTTGTTCATCATATTTCATGTATTTAGTGTTTGCTACCTATATTCCAAATCCAGATTGTATTATGGCAGTAAATGGATTTACTACTGCAAGGGTTGGTGCCTCCTGGAGTGTGGTGAGACACTTAATGGTGAATGAAATGTTCAGTCAGCCTAAAAATAACATCTCAGAACTTATATGCGACACCCACAGCAAGTCTAGATATTAGTCATATAGAGCAGGAATTGTTCCTTGTTGCCACTCAGAAGTTGTTTAACGTGGTCACAAATTGATGCCTTACAAAATGTTTTGCTTTTGAAAGAGCATGATGTGATTTACCTCTTCTTATGAGGTTTTGAATCACTGAAAGGCAGCAAAATATGTTGATATATGGGCATTCCTTTCCCTGTAGCTATTGAAATCTTGGCTCCTTGAGGAGTTGCTAAAATGCATTGGACAGTCTCAGTTCTTGAAATATTTAAGGGTATAAGAAACCTTAGTAGTCATCAAAGAGGTCTTCAAATTTGGCTCCACAGCAAAGACACACCGGGGGTGCCAAAACATGTATACAAGTGGACACTTTGGTCAACGTTGCTCAAGCTGTAGTTCGCCATAATCAGAAGTGCCTGGACGCTGATAGTAACCATTTTGAGCACCTCTTGTAATTGCAGAAGTCAAATGTGACTTGTATCCATCTTTTGTTATTGGTATATATTGAGTATTACAATTTTAATACAGTTTTTCTTTCTTAAAATGTGTACACATTTTTTGGCACTCTCTGTACACACACACACACACACACACGGTATGACAGTTAAGTTCGCAAACTCATCCTAGACAAAGTGCTACATACTTCATTCTGAATATCACTACAGTCACCTTCGAAGTACTCCCCTTGGGAAGATATGCACCAGCACCAGCGCTTAGTCCATGCTTCAAAGCAATTCTGGAACTCTTTCTCTGGAATGGCCATCAGAACTATCATCGTATTACCCTTGATGTCCTGAATGTCATCAAAATGTCTTCCTTTCACTATTTCCTTTCTCTTTGGGTAAAGAAAGAAGTCACTGGGGGCCAGATCAGGTGAGTAGAGAGGGTGTTCCAATACAGTTATTTACTGACTAAAAACTCCCTCACAGACAGTACTGTGTGAGCTGGTGCATTGTCGTGATGCAAGAGCCATGAATTTTTGGCAAAAAGTTCAGGTTGTTTTCGTTAACTTTTTCACATGGCCTTTTCAGCACTTCCAAACAGTAAACTTGGTTAACTGTCCAATTGGTACAAATTCATAATGAGTAATCACTCTGATATCAAAAAAGGTTAGCAACATTGTTGCAACAAGTTCACTAACTTAATTGTCAGACCTCATATATAGGC